GTTACTGGCAAAATCTGCCCGTGAGTTTAACCTAATCGGACAACCTAGTTGTACTTTAAAATTATGCGCATCCCCTCGACATTTGTTTGCCCATTACAAATCATGCTCTTGCATAAAACAATTTAGGTAAATAAATATCTTGTCCACTTATCTGTAATTCTGAACGATAACTGGGGAGTTCCTTTGTAATTAAGCTCAACCTCCGGGTAGTTTTTTCTGTTGCAGTCATCATTGGAAAAAATAAAAATAAAATCCATATTTGGAATAAATCTGAATATTAGGCTTCAATTAAAACATCAAAAGATGAGATTGCTATAGTATAATCTTTTATGGTCTTAAACAGGATTATTGGTTCCGAAACTCAGCTCGAGGACAATACGCCAGGCAGTTGGGGTTGTGGGCTGTGTTATAATGCCCCACAATGTATTCCTACACTCAGCCTTGGTACAGTCGAGAGAAATTGACCCAAACAATAGAGTAAAAGTCCAAGAGGCCATCAACTACTACTCCATCGAGTCCTCGGCCGCACTCGCTATCTCCTTTATAATTAACTTATGCATCACAGCTGTCTTTGCCAAGGGCTTTTACCGAAGTGCAGAGGCAAACAGTATAGGGCTCGTGAATGCAGGCCAGTATCTCGAGGAGAAATATGGCGGAGGGCTTTTCCCAATCCTCTACATATGGGGCATAGGGTTATTGGCGGCTGGGCAGAGTAGCACGATTACCGGAACTTATGCTGGGCAGTTCATAATGGGAGGTTTTCTCGATTTACGGCTCAAGAAATCGGTTAGGGCTTTGATAACCCGGAGCTGTGCTATTGTGCCGACTATGGTGGTGGCTTTGCTTTTCAATAAGTCTGAGTCGTCGCTGGATGTGTTGAATGAGTGGCTTAATGTGCTGCAGTCGATGCAGATTCCTTTTGCGCTTATTCCGCTTTTGACCCTGGTTTCGAAGGAGGAGGTGATGGGAGTGTTTAAGATTGGCCCCATGCTTGAGGTAACTACTTAACTACAGATATTATTGTTTTTTTTTTTTTGGGNGGAATATTTTTATATTAATGTGTTTGTGATGTTTTTGAAATGCTTTCTTTGCTTATGAAGGAAAAAGGAAAAAATTGGGAGCTTCTTTTGTAGTTTTAGCATTTGGTTGGCTGATTTTTTGATTTGGTCTATCCATTAGAGTACTCTTTGTACCTGCCTATCTATTAAAATTATAAAATGATAAACCAGTGAAATTTTTGAAATATTTTTTAGCTTATGAAAGGGTTATAGAGTGATATGAAATGAACTCTCTTTTTTCTTTAAGTAAATTTCACTACCAAAGCTCGGGTGTTTGTGTGTTCTTTTGATAACTATCTCATTTCGTAAGTTTCTTTTCTTCATTCTTAAGGGTCGAGATGAGCATCTAATCCCTGGTTTTTTTTTTCCTTTTTCCTTTTTTTTTTCGGCTGTACTATAGAGGGCTGCTTGGACGGTAGCTGCACTAGTAATGGTGATTAATGGATATCTTTTGCTCCATTTTTTCGTCTCTGAAGTTAATGGGCCATTGTTCGGTTTCCTCATCTCTGCTGGAACTGCAGCTTATGTGGCATTCGTGATATATCTTGTTTCGCATGGCAACAGCGAGCTTTCCAATTGGATAAGCCAATTTGTACCTAAGAGATCCACTTACTCTGGAAATTAGAAGCTATCAGTCGTCTGGCTGAGAAGTTTTGACTTTGACCGGTTAAATCTGACATGGCAAGTTACTGACCTCAAAGTAAAGGTAGTGAAAAATACCTTGGTTTTGGCCTTGATACAAAAAAACTGGTTATCTTTGGAAATTGCGAATACACTTTCACATTTGTTTCTCTATTCACAGGAGGATCCTGCAGAGTTGGTTTTTTGACACTTTAAAGGGTGTAATTGTAAATTTAAAAGATATCCGGTATCTTTTGAATCAGGCTAAATTTCAGGGGTCAATTTGTAAATATCCCTTGAATAAAATTATTGCAGAAATTTTGATCTCCCTTCAGATATGAAGGATTGCCTTACCAAAACAGTCTGACATCACGCTGAACTTGGTAGGTTAATATTGCTAAATTATTATATGTCTCCCATTATAAATCTGTTGAATAAATTCTGGGCAGATCATATATGCATAATTTCTGTTGATCTCTACAGGGGACTTTTTACCTGTAGCTAAATGGGCAAGGGCAGACTCAGGTGCTCATCTGTTGCAGTGAACATGAACTGGATGTAAAAGAAGTTTCTTAGTTTGTTAAGTTTGTTTAATTTATGATGCTTTTCAGTGCGTGCAGCTGCACAATGTATATGTACTCATTTAGACCATTGAAAATATATATTCGTGCAGTTAATTGTGTGAAATACAAAGTTGGGTGAGGAATGACGGGAAATGTGACAGCTATAAAATTAAGACCATTAACACAGACTACTAGAACAAAAATAGCCTTCAATTCATTTTCTATTTCATCTGTACGAGTTGAAACTTGAAACCATGATATTTGTGATTGTACATTTGCATGTACTTAGAGCCACTCCAATGCTGCTTTAGAATAGCACAAAAAGCTGAAGTAGCGTGAAAAAATATCTCCAAGGCAGCGCTATATTTTAGCGCTAGATCAGATAAATAAACAGTACTGCGCCAGTTCTAGCGCAGTACTGTAGCAGAACGTCAGAATTTTTTATTTTTTTTTCTTTTTTTTTTTAATGTATTATTAATGATAAATTTTTGTATAATGTATATTAATAAACATGTTTTTATGTTAAATAACTTTGTGCAATGTATTTTTATGCTAAATAATTTTGTACTTTTTATTTATTGATGTATTATATTTTTATTTTGTAATTTTTTAATATTAAAATAGTACCACATGAATAAAAGTTTAACACATTCGAACAAGTAAATTTGCACTAATTCATATATGGTCTAAACCATATATGGTCTAGTGTGTAAACTTGCACTAATTCATATATTTTCAAAAGTAATAGTTTTGATTCAATCGGTACATAGATGTATATGTATCTTCTTTAAGAAATTCAATTTATTACAATCATTTTTTAAATGTGAAATAATAGTATTGAGGAAAATAATAATACTTTAAAGGATGTATATTAATTTTATTTTGTAATTTTTTAATATTAAAATACCACCAAAAATGAATATAAGATGAAATATACATATATTAGAATTTATTTGAAATAAAAATGAATAAAAAAGATAATAAATTTGAATCAACCGTAGGATTCTTATCTAAAGATCAATGGCTAAGATCATATATATACATAATAAAATTTGCACAAGATATGGTCTAAACCATATATGGTCTAGTGTGTAAATTTGCACTAATTCATATATGGTCTAAACCATATATGGTCTAGTGTGTAAATTTGCACTAATTCATATATTTTCAAAAGTAACAGTTTTGATTCAATCGGTACATAGATGTATATGTATCTTCTTTAAGAAATTCAATTTATTACAATTATTTTTTAAATGTGAAGATATGGTCTAAACCATATATGGTCTAGTGTGTAAATTTGCACTAATTCATATATGGTCTAAACCATATATGGTCTAGTGTGTAAACCATAATTTTTTTTTTATTTACTATTTGGGTAATAAACATTTATATAATATTACATATTCATATATATAGCAAATTATTCGAAATAAAAATAAATAAAATATATTTTTATTATTTGAGTAATTAACATTTTATATAAAATTAAATATACATATATACCAATTTATTTGAAATAAAAAATGAATAAAAAAATAATATATTTAATGTAGAGTAAAATGTAGAGATAAGGGTTGGAGATGAATGTTCAACTCTACTCTAGAGTAGAGTAAAGTCCGCGCTAGAGTAGAGATAAGGGCTGGAGATGGCCTTATCTTCCTACGTTGAAAATTTCAAAGGTTATCCTTTTTTTTTTTTTTAATAG